ATGTCAGAAGTTTCTAATCTATTTATTTAATAGTTATATGATCAAACAGAAAAGTATCGAGGTAGAATGACAAAGAAATATGTTCATGTGATCCTCAATTAAATCTGTTTTAAAGACGTTTAAAGATGATTGAAACCTACGAAATCTGATCTACATTATTAGTATCGGGGCTGTCTTTGTCAACCCCGTAAGCGGTTCGTAAAACGCTGTGCAAACAAGTAAGCACCCTATTTACGAGAATTATGTAACTCCAGCGCGTGCGCAGCCGGCTGCGTGAGTAAGCGTCGTAATGCCGCTATGCGTCACATTACGGTCCAGTTAAGGATGTAGTTTGCCTCTGATGAGTTTCTTTGTGAAACGTCATTTATTGAGATTCGGAGGCAGAAGGTGATTCATTAATCATTACCTTTGTCAACTCCGTACTATTACTACATTTACGAATGTACCTCCAAATATCATCTTAAATATGTACATTATCTTCAAAAACTTTTTGTTATAGAGATAGATAATTAAAATTTTCAAAACCCTCGATACAAAACAGTGTACTACTAACTCGTTTAGACCAATTTAATGAGCCCAAAGCGCAAGCCGCACCGCGAACGAAGCTAGCTAACTTAGCTCAGCTCTCTTATTTGCATGCAACCAACTATGCCAACTAAGCTAACCTTGCTTACCTTAGCTCACGTATGCAAAGTTAAGATAAGAAAATATGTAGTAAGTAGTGACTATGGACACGTTGGGGGGGCGAAGGGTGGCAGAAGGGCGTTTTATTTAACATTCCGGGATTGTTGGGTTAGTTTAGTTAACTCGGTTAGCTAAGTTCGCAGTGTGAACCAAAGTATGGAAAGGTGCCCGTGCTACGTGAGCTAAGCTAAGTTAGCTTAACTTCGTTCGCGGTGTGGCTTGCGCATGAACACAATGGTTCTACTGTAGTAGTTGAGGAGTTAACTATTATTCCTATTTCTATTCTTTTCTCTAGTAGCAGTAGAGCTTCTTGTAAAAGAGTTCATCCAGGGCAGTACTGCCGCCTTACTTATTTCTGCCGCCAAACAGTATTGTCAGCATTACTGTGTTCCGGTTTTGAAGGGTAAAGGTGCTGGTGAAATTACAGACTCATGAGACTTGTCTTTAACTTACGTCTCAGGGTCGCGGGCGCAGTTGCAGTGCCCCTCAGATCTTTTGCAATTTAAAGCTCTGAGTGGCATTGTAACTGTTGTGGACAGGCGTGTAGCTTACCATCAGGCGCACGATTTGTTTTGTTCGTCCCGTCACTTGATGTTATAAAAAAAAAAATTCTATTCTCACTATTCTCTATGTTATTGTAATGTCATCGATCGATATCCATACTCTGACATATTTCCAGTCGATCGGACGTAAAATAAATACCATTTTACGATTGTGATCCAAACAGTAACTGGAAAAAAACTAATTATGCTGCTTCATTATAGCCAAGAACTATCAAATCCAGGTTAAGTTAGGCTTCAAATTAAAAACCAGTCCATTAATTTGGTAGCTATGACGCCAGGCAGACGCACAGATAGGTAGATAAAGGCTTCAATAATATAATTATTTTTTGCGTCGGGGGTTAAAAAACTTTGAATCAACTTCTTACGTAATTTTTAAGTTTAAATTTATTACTCTACTAGTTAGTTTAATTATTATAACAAAGATCGAAACACTAAAAAAATTCATTTAATCCGGCTGGATTCGATTCAGCACTCGCAGGCAATCCGTGACAGATGATCTGCCAATTAAACCACGGAACAAACCAGCAGACCTTACCACTTTCTCTATGTGTTTGTTGCAACGTCTTAAGTTTTAAGGATATTCTATCGTTTGTAGATATTCCCTTCGTGGCATTTGCAGTAGCAACTATGCCTGTTCCTGCCTTATCTAAAACACCAGTAGTATCTCTTTCTCGACAATTAGTGTCTTGTAAATAATTTCCATCCAATTAATTAACAGGCGGAAACCTGTCTAGGCGAAGGCCAACAAATCACTGCCGTCTGACGAGCGGTCTCTCGGATATGATACTACATGCTTTGCAGTCTTTACAAATATATTGTATGCACTTGTATATCTTCTTTAGTTGTTTATTGCTAACAGTCGTTATATTATAGTATGTCGCTATAGTTGTTTTGTAGTTAAGTTTCCCCTTCCAAACATGACACTTTTCATTTTCGTCATAACCAATTTGTAAGAAAATTAATTTACATTCTGTATCATTTTAGACATCTCCAGATTACACCTTCTCATTCATAAGTTTCGAAAAGGTGTACTTTGATAGCAATTTTTAAGACTAAAAATAAAAACCAAATTTCTATTCTGTACACCTTAATAAGATCAGTTGTTTCCAGTATTCGTAGTGTTGTCACGGTCAATGCATACTAGTTTCTTAGAGTCTCGGTTAGTTTTTGTGGTCAGGACTGTCGTTTCAAGTGGCGCATTCCTCTGGCGTCCGGTCGTTTTTGCCGAAGCTCAATCCTCATCCATGATGACTTTTACCGACACTTTCTTTACCGGCAATCTCTACGTCTTGGCCCTTAGCAATACCAGTACTGTTCTAAGTTTCCATTAACATTCTGACATGAATATGTGGTTTGTACCACTATTTGTCCTGTGTTCAAATAGCGGTACTGTTTTAAAATGTTTATTTGTTTATTTTGCGTCTCAATAATGTATTTTCCCAAATATTACAACCTCCATGATATATGCATCCGTCCTACAAGAAAAAAGTCCACTACAATGCACATCGCGTCTTCTGGAGTCCATAAAAGATCATATCCTCTTCCTGTTTAGTACACAAATCGATTCATAAGCACGTCGTTACTTCTTTATGAACGAAGTCGATTATCCGAAGGACCAATAAATAAAATGCCAGGAAAGAAGTCACATGGTAAGAAAACCAATCGATTATCAGGTGGTAGCGAATCCCATACAATTGCGCTTCCTGCAGGTTGCATTTCAATGGGCGTCGCGGCAGGTGTCCCCTATCCTCTTACTATAGCAGAGAGAGCCGGTTTCCGGCAGTTTGTGTGTGGACGTTGGCGCGAGCGCACGTTATCGCCATGGCTGTGTCATTGTCAGTGCCAGTTCCTGCGCCTCGCACACGCTTGGCCTTACACCCGCATAATATTCACGTGAGTTCCGTTTCCAAATTCGAAAATAGACCGTCTTTTGTTTCTCTTCTGTGTGGTATTTTTTCATGCCACGCCATTGGCCGTTTTGTTGTAATTTTTCTGTATAAAGTAGCGAACGCATAACTTTGCGTGGGAACCTGCGTTTCCGCAAACCCTTACTCGCTTGTTATGTTACAATGTGAATATGATAGTGACCGTTTCGTATCATTCATGATAGTCGTTATTAAAGTACAGTAATGTAAATGTTTACTTGAGTTGTTAAGGGGATATGATTTCGTTAAGTTATTCTTTATGAAGTTGTATTATTTGAGTTTCGAGACAGTAAAATAACAATAATATAATCGGACACATCATTAGAGCCACATTGCATTTTTATTTTTAAAGGGCTAGAATACAAAAATATTGTAAAGTTTTCACCGGTTTTACATATAAAATTTTTTACGAGAACTTCTTCCTACCAAATTGCATCAATTAAACATTTTATAAAGCAGTTATGAATATACTGATGATAGATATTAAATTATTTTGTCACTTTTTGTTTCCAATAACGAATAAGACGCTAATTGTCTAGGTCGTATAAATAGTGTATAATAAAGACTAATACAGTTATTTAACAATATGAAGAAATTACAGTTATTGAACTACGTAATAAGGACGGATAACTATCCGTACAATATTGTATAAAATTCATGCATATAGGAAATATATCTATGGTAAAATCCTTTGAATTTATTGTATTTATTTATTTATTTATTTATTCAGGATATTCCACATAGCAATACACTATACATTAAATTTGAACATATTCGCTTAAAACTAAGTGCTTCTATAGTTAAGGAACATCACAGCATGCATACAAAAAATAAATTGTTGTTTTTTGAAACTATCGAGCATATAGTTAATCCTTCTACCTATGATATGATATACAGTAATTGATTTAAAGTTGCAAATAAAATTAAATTTCAAAATTAAAATTAGAATTAAAAATATATATTCAAAAATATAAATACAAATTTACAATAAAAAATTAATTGAAACATCATTTATGTATTTAAAATATCACACAACCTTCTCTTGTAATTGTTTAACCCAAGACCAATGTCCAAATCATGTAATTTGGAAAGCAAGTTATACGTCCTGCAGAGCCTCGGCAAAAGAGCGAAATGACCGAGGTTCGTTTTTGAACCTACTACGGCAAAAAAGTTATAAGCGCTTTTCCTGGGTAACCTGCAAGGCGTATTGAATTGTAGCATATTCAATAACTCAGGGCAGTCTAATGAACCGTTAACATTTAACTTAATAAATGTCAACTGTGACTAATTTATGGTTGAAAATCAGATTAGTGATGTCTTGTGACTTTTGAGCCTACAGTATATCAAACAATTATTGACGTAACGAACCCCGGTAGCCTAACGGAAAGAGTTCGTCCAGGAAAGTACTGTCACCTTACCTATTTCTGCTGCCAAGCAGTAATGTTAGTATTTCTGTGTTCCGGTTTTGACTCAACTTATGTCTCAGGGTGACAGGCTCAGTGGCAGTGCCCTTGAGATCTTTGCGATCTTTCCGAGTGACACTTGGAGTTAGATCTCTGCGATTTAAAGCTCTGAGTGGCACTGCAACTGTTAAGGACGTGTAGTTTACCACCAGGCGCACGACTTGTTCGTCCCATCACTTGATATTACAAAAATAAGATTCTGACAGGATTAATAATTTCGGAATAGAACTTTTCTAAATTGATTATGGGCTGGGTGCTCTGGGAAGTGCCCCAGAGTGAATTCCGTTCTCTGGTACCCATAGTACAGGGAATTCGCTAGTTTGAGACATATCATTTATTAATATGACTTATCTCCCTTGTTACAGACGACAATTAAAGTTTTCGCGCGTTGTCTCCGACCTGACATCGAATACAAGACCCTCTCGGTGACATGGGGCACGCGAGCAAGGGAAGTCGTGTCCACGCTCTTGGGCAAGTTTCGGATGCGGCACAGGGATCCAAGGCTCTTCTATCTAAGCATGGAAGTGAGAGTCAGAGCTGCTGGTCTGCGAACCACACTGGTGTTGGATGACGACGCCAGACCTGCAGCGTTGCAGGCTTGCCATCCTAAGGGATATTCCAAGTAAGTAGTACCTATTTAGTAACACTTCAACCAGATCAACCTTTATTAATAATGCAAATTCAAATAAATAAAAATATTAAAGTGATTATATTATATTGCATATTTAATATTTAATTTTCATATACTAACGCACACACTCAACATAACCCTGCACTAGGGAAACCCTGTGTCGCGAGTGCCATGGACACACACAGACGAACACAAATTACATCTGAACTCACGAGAGAAATAAATGTAGGCCATACAAATATTTCTCCCGGCGCGGGATCGCACCTGTGACCTCTGCGTGGCAGTACTAGCTTTTTTACGTAAACATAGATTTAAAAACAAATAAGACTTGAACCATAACGTTTAGAAAATATTGTCTTTCACTAATTTCATAAACTTTGTAGATTGGCTTTTATACCCTTTCTACTCTAAAGTATCGATATTTAACAGGAATGAAGGGGTATGAATTTTATAGACTGTTTTCGATATAGGATCGAGCGCTTGTTTTGTTTCTCTGCCTCACGCATTCTATAGATCCTTCCACGTTTCTATTACGCATGGTACTTAGAATATTGGCAGTCCAAAGTTTGAATCTCTTACACACTATATGACTCATTATATTACGCATAGTTATTTACTTAGAGCGGTCATGACCGACTCCAAGGAAAACTTTTGATAAGGCTGTGTGACGAATTAGCATATTACCTCTAAATATTCTTTCTTATCTATATATATTATTATTCTATATATATATTATTATTATATATGTTATTGTGTATTGTTACTATTATAATTCTTTATTTTCGTAGTTTTTTGTATAGGACCAGTCTGCTTGGATTTTAGGGGCTTGTTAATAAACTTGATACATTTTTCATTGATTTATTGTTTATAGTTAGCTGTTTTCACACACATTTTATTGTAAATACAACTAGAGGTATTCGTAGTATTACCAAGTTTATGTTTATTTAGGTACACAGAATTACGTACAATTTGTGAAGAAAGTTAAATAAGTTTTAACTATCTCGACGTCGCGTAGATATAATATTATATCATTACTTTGTATTTGTTGCATAACTTTGATGAAGTACTTACGTGATTATCCTGACCAGTATTATCTCTATTTTTTTTAAATAATTGAGAGTTAGCTGCACAATAAGTCTTAATTGTTGTAAAAGTTTAAAATAGAAAATGCCTTCGTAAAGAATGCATATGCGTTCTTTACGAAGGCATTTTCCCAAATGAATAATATCTTGTAATAACTTGTCTGTGACCTTTTTTGTCGTTCCTACATGTCGTTACTTCAGGGGAAAAAGACGTAAAAGCCAAAGTACAAAGTTTGCAAGGCGCAGCAAAAATATTTTTAGAACACTTTGCTTCCTTTTTAATTTTTATAGCTAATTCTACGTAAAAATTTTGTTCGTATAAGCTGACCGAGAGCTTGTTAATTTAACCTTACTGTGCAGCCAGCTGGTATGCTCAGCATATCGACTGTGAACTAGCAACCGGTACTATCTCAATTTTGACAACATTGCATTGACTTTACAGGTGAAGAAAAAAATTGTTTCCGTCATTTATATACCTACCATTATTAAATAAAAATACGTAGTGTATGTGTAATAAAAATATTTAAAAATTACGTATTTTCATTAATAAATACAGTCCTCGTAGCCATGTCACGAGGGCTGATTGACACAGCCAATAGCGCGTGCTTATTCCAATTTTATCGCGCGTCTCCCGATAAAATTGATGCATAGATGTGTAGCCATGCTACGGGGGCAAATGCTATATAAATAACGCAAACAATTTTTTTCTTCACAGCCGATATGCTTACTGCTAATATAGAGCAATATAATATATACATAATAAAGTCCACATACTCTACTTATGAAACATCACGATTACTCTAGATCACACTGTACAATTATCTAACATGACGTTTATATAGCGTTATTGTATCTTAATTACAGTGTCTGTGTGTAAGTCGTTAGGCACAGGTGGTCAGTGGGTACAGAAGTAGCTTATTAAGTAGTTGTATGCTCTATTATTGTAATTACTACTTGCTATAAAGTATTTTATATAGTTTTTAAAGTCAGGTGCAACGTAGGGACCGTCAATTAGTTTGGATAACTTGGTTGCTAGAGTTGTGCTTATTGAAAACGTTTCAAATGTCATCTTTATTACTCAATTATTAGGTATATTAGACTCAGATTGATTTATTTCTCTAATATAATATTACAGTATAAGTTGTACCACGTGTCGAAAAATAAGAAATTATATTGAGATCGTCAAATAAATATGAAAATTATGGTTACCTATAAGTCCGCAATGACGTTTTCCAGAAATAGCGTTTGCTCGAATTTTCATAACCTCGAAAGTAATTTTGAGAGGACAGTGTTTTTTCTTTTAAACCTAACTTAACCTAACCTAACTGAACTTAATCGTGTCTTTGCGAGAAACATCCAACATATCCTGAAAGAACAGCGGTTTTGTTATAATTCGATTTTCGGTGTAATGAAAATTCGAACAAACGTTATTTCGGAGAAAATATTCGAGTTTGTAATTTGTTCTCGAAAATTATATTAAAAATACACAATAATTAGACAATTAACATTTTTTTTATAAACTCAAGTGTCGGGACGAGCAAGTCGTGCGCTTGATGGTAAGCTACACACCTGTCCATAACAGTTACAGTGCCACTCACAGCTATAAATTGCAAAGATCTGAAGGGCACTACCACTGCGCCCTTCACCCTTAGACATAAGTTGACATGTGCCTGTATTCCATTTCACCATTAACAATAATATTGTTGTCATTAAATTACATATTACATATCATTCTCCATCAAGGATCGTTAAGTTGATAACAAATATACAAAGGTAGTAAAGAAGCATAGTGGTTCTATTTCCTCAATTCCCTCTGCAATCCGATGATTGAAGAATATTAGCTGAATTATTAGGTTCTTACAAACTTCGAATTGCCTGGTATTTAATAGGGTGTCTCCTATCGTACTAAATACCAGATATCTCCTATTAAACTACTAAATGTTGTCGTCGATCGAATTTTAGTGAATTATTTGTTATTTTTCGCATAAGTAAGTCAACAATAACACTTACCACCTACATCACTTATTATAAATCTTTCATTTCTTTTTCACGTTACAACGTCCCAAAACCAAGTCATTGCGACTGTCAAAAGGAATTTTATTATAGACTAAATTTTTTCAATTTTAATATGAAGAGTTAGGTTACCCCGAATAAGTTTTATATAACACCGACTCCCTTCATAACTCTGTTATATCATCTTCCACTTTCATTTTTTTCATATTATAATAATTTACATGAAAAAATAGAGGTAGAAGTATCCATAGTTTGATTATCATTATCACTGTCCAAAAACGAACACTCCTAATGACCAAATTCTTTCAATGCGAAATTCTACACAGCGTCCTCTATCTTCTGTTTAAAATAAAAACTATAGGACTTCTTACCATGAAACACGAAGTTCCGTGATTTTCATACAAAATGTATATCCATTTTGGGACATCCAAATCACTATAACACTTGTCATCCTTTCCAAAACCACATAATTGTTCGAAGTCTCCTGTTTTTCATACAAAATGTTTTTCCATTCGGGGCTTCGAAGTCCTTAGATCATTATTACGTGTTGTCAACGTCGTCGACTCAGACCACCATGTCACAAGATCTAAAAACTGTCTTCCGTCGTTCCCCTTCCGTCGCTATTTCTGTCTTTAACAAAATAAAAACGGTAAAAAGCTTTATTGACCATATGGATCGTGTTACCCCATATGTTGACAGTCAAAACTGTGTTTGTAGTTTGGGGTAACGATCTCTTAAAGAGTACTTAGACGATAATAGATTTATGAATAGTTAACTTTTATTTATATCAGAGTGAGGTGTTAAGATATAAGGGTATGTTTGTGCAAGTGTTTAAGGTAGATGTTTTAAAGTAACTATGTTCTCTCTTGAGTATGTGTAATAGTATTATGAATAATAATAACCAATACAAATAACTACATAAATTACATTTGGATTTGGATATTAGTTTCGTGAATTGTATTTTACAATTTTTTAAATCTATTTAACCAACCTGTAGCTATTGTTTATATATCATAACCTGATCTAGATATGAACATACATACTTTAAATGAACGAATCATGAAACACCTTACAAAATGAAATTGCAATATTTTGTTTTATATAATTAAGTCAGAGGTTGCTTGCAACTTTGTATCAGGCTCTTTTATATTATTATAATTGGTTGTAAATCGTATTATATTTCTCGTTTATTTATTTTCAGATTTTCTCTGCAAATGCGACCAGGTGGGTTAGTGAAGATCTACGACTCTGCGTTGATGTCCTCGTCGCAGTACAAGTGTATCCTTACCAGCGAGCGCACCACTGCAGATGAACTGCTCGCGATTTTGCTGCATTGTTATGATTCTACTGAAGGAGTTGAACGCTTTTCGCTTTATGAGGTTAGTTTTTAAACATTATTTTTATACCTTACTGAAAAGAACATAATAAGTCTAAGTTGTTGACACCGCAGTAATGTCATCATAACAAAAAATATCTGGAAGGAAATGTATGGTTTTCTCTTCTATTAGTAGCTTTAAACCACACAAATATGTTGAATTTCTTTATTATTTTATTAAAGAGTAGCAATAAAATTTGTCTTCAAAGCTTTTTTTCGGTTATTTCAGGTGTGTCCATCACAAGAGTATGAGCGCAAACTCCACCCCGACGATTTGCCTCTGTTAGTGCAGCGATCGTGGGACCCCGACACCGATTGCCATTTCAGAGTGCGGCGCAATCCTCGCGCGCCTCCGCTTCCACCCCGCGCACTTTCATCAAGTGACCCCATCGAAGAAGAGGATGAACCTTCACGAGCCCTCTCAGCGCTTTCTTTAGAGTCAGATAATGATCATAAAAGATACAGCCCTGTCTATAAATTTCCAAGCATAAGCTACTGTCGAGAAACAAAAAACGACTATCTCTACATCTGACTAGCCGTCCACTTGTCTCAATTCGGCAGAAAGTGGTGCAGGGAATACTGCAAGTGGAGAAAAGTGTCAGTGAGGACTCGTAAACGCCTGTTGTAAATAATAAGTTAAGTGTAAATAAGTACTTTGCTATTACCTCAGGGTAGGCGTTAAAGTGAAATGTAAATGCGAATTCAACCCCGATTGTTTATAATTTTGGTAATCTCTTTAAGATGTGTGAAACCAAAGAGATGTTGCAATATATTTACTAATACTTGTACCTAACACAAAAAATAGTGGTACTTTAGATGAAAATCACAATGTATCTTGTTACAAATTGGGCAGTTTATATTTAGATTTATTAACTGTAAAGAATCGACCCGAAAGAATTTATTGTTCGCTGTATGTCTAGTCTTACCAGTGTTTGTCCGGATTGTCACAGACGGAGACCAAATTGCAACGTATACCGATGTAAGCAGGATTGTGAATTTGTACATAGAGTTACGTAGGTTAGCTAGTAGAGACCAAAGAGGCAGCGATTGAGAGCTAGAGAGCTATTTATCTGTTAAGCGTTGTATGTTTAATTTATTTGTGCGAACGCCGCCGCACGATGTTACACATCCTGAAATTTACTGAATATGCCTGTAATAAACTGCAATATGTTTTCATAACAACTAGTCCTTTTATTTTAATTATAATTCACATGGTATCTAATGAACGGGGATAAAATAGGTAAATGAATTTCCATAATCGATATAAAGTATTTTTATTTACAAATGATTGCAACAATGAAGTATAGACGATGCAATATAATTACAGAGTATGTATGTTCAAAAAATGGGAAACGGATAATATCTAACGGTACTAAAATTATCTTTTATATGTAAAATTTACACATTCGACGCGAGCTCCGTACCTTCGAGTGCGAACGTTAGCCTAAACTACTCTCTCCCCTAGCGCCACTCGCGTGCAAAGGAAAGAGCGCGCACCAGTCCGGGCCGCGCCAAGCGGGGCACCAAGCTCAGCGAATCGAAACAGCGTCCGGCGCGAGAATGCGCGACAACGAAACGTTAAGGATGCACGAACCGCAAAACAACCGGTCCCTGAAGCACTTGCACTAGACGGCGTTGAGCGCGCGCCGCGACGCGGCGTAGTCGTCGCCCTCGCGCTCGCTCAGCGTCGCGGCGGGCGCCAGCGGCCTGCGCGCGCCCCGCTCGTCGCGCTCGCGCTCGTCGCGCCGCGAGAAGTCCTGCGCGTGCCGCGCGTAGCCGTCGCGCGCGTGCGCGTGCGCGTGTGCGCGCTCGTAGTCGCGCGCGTGCGGCGGCCCGTAGTTCTCGCGCGCATACTCGTCGCGGCCGTACGTGTCCCGCGTGTAGTCGTGCCCGTACGCGTCGCGGTCGTACGCGTCGCCGTGCGGCGGATAGTCGTGCGAGTAGCCCTCGTGGTAATGGTCCCGCGTGTAATCGCGCCCGTAGCGCGCGTACCGCTCGCGTCCGTAGTACTCCTCCTCCAGCCGCTCCGGCCGCGCCGCGCGCGATCGGCCCCCTGTGACATACCACACTCTTAGCGAAGATCAAAACGGTTCTGAACATGCGGGACGATGGACGATTGGGATGCTTTCATTTAGGTACATTCCATCCAATAACACAGAAACTAAACCTTCAATCACACATTGAGTTACCTATGACTAATGGACATAGTATGAAATGAGTGTATCCCAACCGAAACAAAATCAAAAGACACACGGCAAACAGCACACGAGGCGATGACGTCGCTGTACATGTGCGGACGCCAGAGAGGAGGCACGCGGGGATCACCCGACTTACGGCCCTACGAGACTAGACTGAGAGACATCTGCATGATCAGCTCGCCGGAGGTGCGCACTTTGCCGGGGCACGGCAGCACCACCTCGGCGGCGGGTGGCGTCGCCGGTGCTGCGGACAAGCGGATCGTCACCGTCACGCGCCGTCCGCGACTGCTGGCCACGTGACGTGGTGACACGAACGGAGACTGCTAGGCTCTGGGATCTCGGATCACTGCGACCGAGTATTCGTTTAGATTTCTTCATGCTAAGAAATCCAATTGAACGGTAATGATAGTCATCTTGAGTTGCATGCCAACTTTTGCTCATTTTTGGGAAGTTAGTTATTTTTCGGGGCACAAAATGTTTACAATTCTTGAAATTATATAAAAATCCAACAATGTGAGAATATGAGTACGGTGGCGAGCAAACTCAAGGAGCAAAATATGAGCCACGTAAAACAGCTGAACAAGGTACACAACAGTTGGTCCAGCAACGGACGTCCAGTCGCTGCGAAAACGAGACGAAACAGTTAGTAAAGCGACACCCTCAATCAGCAGAAAAGCGGCCCGAGAAAGGTGTCTCCTTTGTGAGTACCTCGACGAAAAAATTTTATGGACATATCGCATAGGATAGTAAACACATTTAGTATGTAGGTAGTGTAGAATAAGTCTAATTGTTATACATAGATAATGTCACGATAGACAACGATAGGTCACAACAAATAGTACAAGTTGATTCGTTCGATATTTCCATAAAATTTGTACCGTACGAAGACATTGAAGGAGAACCATTTCCAAGGTTTAGGTTATAGTTAAAAGAGGCGGTCGAGAGCCGCTAGAAATTGGTCGGAACCTGTGTGCCGTCGCGGCGGCGGCAGTTGCTAAAAGGCTACTGGAAAAATGCTCTTCGCTCGGCGGTTAGTGGGCTTGTCCTGAGGCTTGTACTGAAATGAACAGGGGAATCAGTGGGCGACATTCTGGGAAATTGTTTATTTACACCGCTGTATGGATTCGACACAACATTCACTTAATCTATAACGATTAAACAGTGATACTACAACTACATTTATGTGAACTAAAAAATTACATTACATTTCCTAATGTACAGTTAGCTTGTCAGGATTGTTTGTAGCGGCTAATGACATACAGATCATGCAAATAAAATAAATATAATACTACAGGTTTAATGCAGACTCCATAAAGTTTTCTGAAATAAAAGCTCTACTTTTAGTTGGACACTCTCTGCTACGAAATGAAGGTGAAATGTCAATATTGTAAAGAACGATTAATAATATATGTAGTTATATGAGTGAGTGATTGGTTAGTTACCTCTATCCCTCTCGTATGTGTAGGAGTCTGCTCGCTCGCGATGGCCTCCGGGGTGTGCGGGGGGATCAACAGTTACATAATACGGTTATATACAAGTTACACAATGGTCGTTGCTCGGGCTCGATTGGGTTAGGCCTATATTATGAGTTACCAAATTGACAATGTCAGGATCTCTAATCGCAGTTGCCCCAAATGGTAAATTGTTACGTACCAAGACGTTTCAAGGGCTGCCCATAATATCTATTAACTCTGAGGGCAGGTTCAGATGATAAGCGTTACACGCGTCTTCAAACCCCCCCCCCCCCCCCCCCCCCTGCTTATGCTCACTTACATACAACTACACGAATTTAATTCATTTTTCAATTCAATTAATAGAGCGTTGGTATGCCATCTGAACGTGTTTTGCTAAAGATAACTGAATACACGTCTATCGCTTTGTCAAATGAATCGACTCTTAAACTTATAGTACTCGATAAAAGTATTACCTTCTAGGATATTCCACGGGTATAGTTCCAAATATTATGTATATGAACGCCTGCACTATTTGTAAGTGCAAAGTAAAAGTTTTGGGATGCTCAAAAAGTTGCTAGGCCTTCTTTGAACTGGACAGCTAGGAATTTTTAAGTCGTCCTTGTACATTTCCGTATGGGATAGATTCTGACAAAGTCTCTTAATGTTAGTATGTAATATGATTCAACCATTCATATGTACACATATATGTTTCAGCTGTAAGTATAAGTACATATTAAACGTTTTGCAAATAGACAACACTGATATAAGTTTAGAACATAAATGCAGCGCCACGTTTGTTTTAAATTTTTGTAAAATATCTCTACCTATAGTTTTCTCCTCTTGAATCTGATTTCATGTAAACTTCTTCCATGTTTGATACGAGTACTCTGAGAAAACGTTTTTACTTAGACATTGTTGCAATGGTCGTCGTATCCAATATAAGAAAGACGTGACTGAATCGAACAAATAAAAATAGACAATCGGAATAACAGTGTCCTGTGGGGCTAGCTCGAAAAGGCCCGATTTGCGCGATAGCGACATAGAAGCGCGATATATTGCCATTCTCTACGCAAGAATAGCTATGTCTCACATCGTATGTCGCTCTCGCGGAAGTCGCTCCTTGTCGTGCGAGCCCTACTGTTTAGAGCGCGTACCCATTATGTCGTAACGTTTTATTTATTGTTGGACGACTGTCGTGTTTAGCTGTTCCCACTAGATCGTGGCGACAATTTATTGGTTTACGGCAGCAGCCTTATCATTTGCACGACAGAATAGTTTGAAGTTGAAGTTGAAAAATGTAATTGACAAGATAAATAAAAAAAAAATTAAAAAAGTTGCGATTATCTGTCATCACATTTTTATCGTGACATTTTATTTATCATCAGACGACTGTCGTTCTAGCTCTTTCCATTGTCATGACAGTATGTCGTCGTAATGTCAAAAAAGTCGTAAACGACAGTTGATCGTGTTGTTCCATGTGTGAATAACTTCATTTAAATATACAAGGCACGACTATCTGTCGTCACGACATAATGCAAACGCGCCCTCACTGATCAGAACACAATTTGAATTTTTGAAAAGAAAAAAAACATTTGGTTCTGTTCGGACTTTCAATACTAACTTTTTAAGATTTTTAACGTCGCATAATGGTATCTACTATACTGCCACAGAAAATAAACAAGTGCTGAATGAGTACGAGTTGCTTCTATGAAACGATTTCAGCAATTGCTATTTCCTTTGCGGCATAATATTACACAGAGTTTTCCTCAAAGAAAGCAAGGAAATAATCAGTAGAAGATGGTAAATTTAATTAAAATCGTTCAGTATACAGTGAAAAACATCTCTTCCATCGCTTATAAGGTTAAGGTTACGTGTGCCACGTAATCAGAAAAAATGTAGTGGATAATATAATGGATTTCAGTAGGACTGCAAATAGGTTTGCATCTTCGATATTTGGCAATAATAACATCATTTCCGAGCAACTTTGAGCAAGAATACATTGAACGTGCGTGTATATATAGTTATAGTGTTGGTGACTGTGATGGTACTCACCAGGCTGGGCCTGGGCGTGGTGCGGGTGCGGTGCGGCGTGCGGCAGCGGACGCGACAGCGGCGCTGTCGCCGGCGGGTGTGTCGCGCGCCAGTACTTCTGTAATTCCATATTATCACGGGTGCTATAAATCCTGCTGTAATCCCATTATTTCACTTTCTTTCCATTAATATTAGTAGCTCATTTTCTTCGAAACTATGACAACACTACGTCAAAGTCTAATCCTCTTTATTTCATAGGTAATCAAGTTACACTTGAAATAGTCATATTGATTAAACTCTACTGCTCATTCGTAAGGCACTCCTGAGGAGAATCAGTAAGAAACTTTAAGGGTTGCCTTTGTAAATATACATTTGAACACGTTTATCATTTACAATATTTATTTCAGACATCTTAGATCGAGAATGCCTGCAAGAGCGAAACGGGTCGCTATCATGGATTTTTGTCATCAAAGTACGCAGAAGTGGTGTAATAGTATAAAGTTTTGTTTTAAACTTCATAAACAGCAAATATTGAATCATCATTCAGCCATACGACGCTCACTGCAGGGTACAGGCCTCCCCCAATGATCGGTCTTGCGCTGCCCGTATCCATCGGCTTCCCGCGACCTTTACTAGATCGTCGGTCCACCTCGTGGGGAGACTACCCACTGAGCGTCGTCCGGAGCGCGGTCGCCGTTGAAGAACCTTTCCAACCCAATGGCCATCGGTTCTCCTAGCTATGTGCCCCGCCCACTGCCACTTCAGCTGAGCAATTCTTCGAGCTATGTCGGTTGCCGTAGTTCTCCTACGGATTTCCTCATTTTTTATTCTATCACGTAGGGAAATACCGAGAATCGCTCTCTCCATTGCCCGCTGAGTGTTCTTGTTCCTTCGGTTTGAAAAAACAAATATACGCGATTTAAATCCGGAAAAATAGTTTCATTTCCTATAAATTACATTTTCATAAATGTACTGTGATATTTGTGTAAGAATGTTAATCTCTTTAAACTTATCTCTCATAGACACTCTGGGGCCCAGATTGTAAATTGCCTTAATCGCACGTTTCTGCTTGATAAAGATTTTATTAATATCGGCGGCATCAAGCAAAGACTAGACATATGACTTCAGAAGATACTGAAATATTCCATAAAGACAGAATGTGGTGGCCCAGTTACAACCTGATCAGCTCTCTGTTACTCTTAATATATATCGTTGTCCTCTGCAAAGTACTCTCCTTGTCTTCCTTATACGTTGTGCATTTTACATAGAAGCTGTAGTAGCCGTTTTTGTTTGTTTGTTTACGTGCTTTGCTGATAATGATGTAACATAAGTTGGTATTAATTAACATCTTCTGTAGGGTTATTACGACACGGCGTGACTAGCGCGCGAGCGACACAAAGCGCGAGATACTGCTATTCTCGCCAAGAGATACAGCTGTGACGATGCGACCTCCTCCGTCGTCATCCCACCTTTTTATCACCTTTTCTCTGGTTCCTGGCCACTTATGTTCAAATTTTGAATCGTTCTTTAATTACTTTCCCTCGACATTCCCACTTTGTTTCGTTCCGTCGTCACTTTCTACCTAATGTCTGACGCGAACACTTCAGCTCGTCTTCATCACAAATTTTGATCTGTTTTTATCATTTTCCATTGTAAATCATGTACTTTAATACCATTAAAATCCAATAATATTTGTAAAAAATACGGCCTTTCGGATCTTTCTTTTCGTTTTTTCCCTTATGCAATAAATTCATGTGGATCGAGAAATCTATTTTATTGCTCCCTATTGGCGGTTTATAACCTTTTCACTGCTATTCTCGCATAAAGATCTCGCGCTTTATGTCGCTTTCGCACAAGTCGCGCCCTGTCGTGCTAGTCCTACTAGTATTTTCAATGTATATCTCCTTCGTTTCGGATATTCAAAAACTGTGTTCAGAGTGGGAAGTTTAGTATTGAGAATTCAATTTTGATTTTGGAAATTAATTTACAGGGGAGTATATTATTTGAGCAATACTAAATTCTTTTTAAGACCCGGATACATATCGTGAGTGTGTATTAACTGACCTCGAGATATTCCGCGATTTTCTCACATGCTTCGTCGAGCTGGTTATCATCCAGTATGAGGTCGAACATTTCATGTGGACACTGCGCCAGTTTTTCTGCTGCCACCATCTGCACTGACAGGTTCTTGCTCTGTCCTTTGCCGCGTGATTTTATTAACCGCTGCAACACCTGCAACAGCATACGTCATTCCTTTTACTAAAGATATAGTGTTAATCTTGGCACAAATGACTTTAATTAAGATATTGTCAGGTTAGTCAAATTCAAAGCAGTTCGTTTGGTAGCCAAAACGCACATGCAGAAAGAATCCGTTGAAAGAATGTAAGTTGCTTGCTTACCTTCGGGCTGGAGATCTTAAGGTAGACGATGGTGGGCGCTAATGAGGTCTTGGCGAGCTGAGAGGGGTGGTTAATGGTATCACAGTCCAGGACCACCAGCTGTAGCGTCCGCGCCAGCTCGAATATCCGCTCGATTTCCGCCTGTGCATTAACCTTATACTTCGCAAAGAATCATTGCATACTGTATAGAATGAGCGTTTTTCAGCAAAGAAATAGAATGTTAAAAATATATAGGTAGATGGCACATGATTTGTGGACATTGACGTTTCCTCTCTTTGATTAACGAAATTAATAAAAAAAGCCTGAAAAACGCTTATAACGAAAGCAAGTCTTAAGAGTGGGTTTTATATTACGAAAGGACAGGTACGTATCTAAGATTGATACTATTTAGGCAGGTAGTAGTAAGCAATATCTTTTCACTTGGTGGACATAATAGATACATTATTACATATTATTGAAGTGTATATCAACTATAAAGTGTGTTTAACGTGTGTGCTCAGGATCTTTTTAGTTCGGGTTGTATCTTCATCTTGCTGGGCAACAATCGTATTGTTTTATTATTGGATTTCAAGGAATATCAGACTGCAGGCTTTGATGCATTTCACGTTAGTCGAGTTAGTTACATTACATGTTATATGAAAGTCAACTAGCTACTGACCGAAACAAGGCGTTATGGAAATAAAACTCGCAGCAAACAGAGGCAAATATGTAAACCTTCTAGGATGACAATCTCAGATAACTATATATTACTGATTGATACGAATGCTACAATGGACGGTTTAGTGAGGTGCTGTTGAAGGGTTCAGATTGTCAGCCTAAAATTGTGTGTGCATAATATCCAATAGATTAAAATCCACTTTACAAAATGTTAACGGTCACAAGACTATCGACATGTTAAGGTTCGCCAAAAAACGGAAGCAATCAAAGGGCAATGAGTCACTGCACGAGTACGAGCAAACTGGAGCATGTCAGTGAACGGGCCACACTTCTATCGAAACAAGCGGATGTTAGACCTAACGTCCGCACCTGAACCTCTTGTATGCAATTGGATTTGGAATTCGCCCTGTCCATGATCGGTTTCTTGGGCGGGTTATTGAGCAAGGAGCGCTTCGCCAGCGAGATGTCGGCGGTGACCCGCGTAATGATGATCCTGCAACGTGACACTGGCGGTGAGTCGTGTGCTGTGCACGTACCTGCACCTCGGCGAGGCAGGTAGATCGCGAGTTGGATCTCTCCATGATCGCGCGCTTCGAGGGGTTGTTGAGGAGCGAGCGCTTGGCCAGTGAAATGTCTGCCATCACTCTCGTTATTATAATCCTGTAATCATTTTCGGGTTATCGCACATGCGGTTAATCCTCTTGCTACTTCTACTTCAAATTACTTGCGTCTTATATTCATGTTCATGGTAATGATTATTTGGTGAGTTACATAGGGTTAGCTGGTTATAAGCACATAATGGTATGGACGACATTTAATTTAGTCGGTCAATAGCACTTATTAATTTCTTAATATTCTAACGTCTATCACTGGAAAATTGATAGAATACACGTTCACTCTAATTGTATGGGCATCCGTCACTCACCTGCCTTCAAACCGTCTCTTTAAAAAGTCGAAGAGCGCTTTCTGCATCATGTCCGTGACCTCGTACCCTTTGAGCGAGGGTCCAACGAGGACCACTGGTCGCATGGAAGGTACCACGTCATACGGCGTACAGGCTTCTTGTTTTTTGAAAAACGGCTTGCGTTTCTCTTTCCCTGCGGGGAGGGCGCCTGCGCCCCTCCCTCGCCCCGCGCCGTCTGAATCTTCACCTGTGGGAGGATGCCATGCTGGGGCAGTGCTTATGGGGCACACGATTGAGCCTTTGAAGTGAATTTGTATTTTTAATTTGAATACTTATTTAAAAGTAGTAGGGACATTCAGGTACATAGGTAGCTATCAAATATAACAAACTTGCCAGATACAATCGCTGACATTTTCAGCATGCGGTTCGTTACAACAAGAAAACTTATGAGTTTCATTTAGACATTCACTTCTCGTGACAAATTCACTCCGCGTCCCGCAATGAATTGGGGGAAATCGAGACAAGATTAAATTCGGGATAATAAAATATATTCTTACTTTTTTGTACGTTCTGTATTAATTTCTTCAAGTATATAATAAAACCTACACTGTACCATGCTTTCCTACGTATAGCATGCTATCAAGGACATAGGGACCACAGCCATATAACATTTAGATGGGGACATATAACATAGGACCTTGAAAAGGGATTAGTTACACTCCACAACATCAATATTGGCAATGCAAAGCGTTCAATATTATTTTTACATTAATAGAAAATTTCAGTTTCTTTTAAATACATCCAAACGCGTTTAGGGAGGATGCGTAGCAACACAGACAAGACATCAGCTGGAAAGAATGTAGTTCAAAACGAAAATAATAAAAATAAATAAATACATATAATTTAAAAAAATGTTTCGAGGAAAAACTATATAACATTGTTGCTATTGAATAATTTATTTAGTGTTTCCTCAAGTTGAAATTTACCTTAAAATAAAAGGGATTTTAATGGGAGATGGATATGGGATGGCATGGCCACGATACTATTGCAAATAAAAATAATGTACAATATTTTTAAATAATAATCATAAATATGTATAACAGACTTCAAAATTATTGCACGGATTGGGGAGCACAACAACAACGAGACAACACTGAGTAATCATAGGATCACACATAGATACCTTTAGGTATTCTTCAGTGAGTCTTTGTTTGTTTATGATAAGTGGAGGTAAAATAAAGATACTCAATCATAAATTCAAATATATAAATTGAAGTACATACATACCTACTGTTTATTACTTTTTTTTGATGAAATAAATATTCTAGTAAACATTCTATTTTTGAAGTCTGTTACAATATAAAACAAAATAAAATAAAAAAAGGGAGAAATGGCAACATTTTCTGGTCATAGAGATGTATGAGTGAGCTTACCTCGGTCAAAGGAGACATCTGAAAACATGACAAAAGTGAGTGCGGTAGAGCAACCAGGAAATTCCTGCCAGTCCCACCGAGTGGTCAACTGATGATATGTGCTATGCACGGCCTATTCCATTGTTTGTACGAAATTGTGTAAAATCAGAATTTTATCACTGCATGTCAATTCGTCTGTGAACCGAAACACGTGACCACCAATGCACTTTCGCGACACAAAGTCTTCGTCATAGCGTGGATTACCGTTTAATGGAAAGAGGCTCTACGCTCTTCTGTAATGCATTGAAAAGTGGTCACCATAAGTGTGACGTCACGTTCGTCGAAATTATCGAATTGCAAGTGATGCCGCAAACACGAATTCACATCGCAGATAACATGTTTCGGAATAGGTGTGTTTTTAGGCCGATCCTTATTAATACGTGTCCACATTTTAGTTACAACTTCTTTATAAAAATTCAATCTGCAATGGCCCGAACGTTTGTAATTGTTGTTCCGCCCATGTGGCATACAACGTTTTTCTTTTTCATCACACTCGCGAAGAAGATAAAAAAAGGAAAAGTAGTCTTTATTATATGATATAGATTTAATAGTTCATTTAATAACGCGTACACACACACACACTCAACATAGCCCCGCACTAGGGAAACCCTGTGTCGCGGGTGCCATGGTCACACACATAGACAACCACAAATTACACCCAAACTCACGAGAGAAATAAATGTAGGCCTTACAAATATTTCTCCCGGCCCGGGAATCGAATCTGGAGCCTCAGCGTGGCAGTCATGGTAACCGTTCGGCCACAGAGGCATTTATATTATATTTGCAAAATTATAAGAATATAATTTATTTTGAAGCATTAAAACTTTGCTTAGAATGAAATATGAAATCTTTTAAATTTATGGTATCTATAAGTATGTATTTTATAGAAGTGGTAGATGAAATATAGCCGACTGTATTTCTGTTAGTTTTAATAAAGTTTTAAAAGGCCACTGCTGTGAAGATTTTTACGTTTTTTGTAAAGTGTAAAACTACATTATACGTACATTACACGTAAGACAGAGTATATTGCTTTCAAATACCGAATGAAATAGTGAAGTTTGTTCTAAATTTAAAATATATGCAGATTTAGAAAGTTTTATAATAATTTGTCTTAGTGTCTTCCATGAATTTTGAACGTGTCAGGGTCGTGCATAACATGTCTGAGTGACATGACATGACAATGGAATGGTAGTACAAAGCAGTTATAACATTCCATACATAACATACGTACTTAAATATAATTTTGTAATAAGTATTATTAAAAATGGAAATATATAAAAAAAGTGAAGTAATCACAAGTGACACATTTTTTGCTCTAAATCATATACGCTGCAAATACAGAACAGCTTTGTTTCTTTGTACAGAATTTGACACGGTATTTTGCACAATTGCCACACTTTGGCAAAGTCTATTGACAAAGGTTGATGTTCAACTTTAGAATTCAATTCAATAAAGTAATAATAATTGTGATGCTATATGTAAAGGGAAGATAATTTATGTCACTTGCAATTACAAAGTGTATAAAAGAGAAATTTGGAAAATCGTAATATTTACATAAAAGGAGCCAATAACCCGACACCGAGCACGATACGACTACGACACTGATACGATCGCCTCGCTCTCTGCTGCTGTGTGATCTTTTGGCAACCAACCTGACAATATTTGACCAATAATCTGAAGGAGAGAACAAAAGGCTGCCGAGTTTTTATTTCAAATGTGCTAGTATTAACTTTTGGGATCCATGTTCGTATTCAAATAAACTTAAATCCGCCTTCCCCTTTCCATTATCGGGGGCTAGACGTAGACTGGGGTTCCATCCCTATGTTGTGGACATTTTAAGGATTCGCACGAAACGTTTCGCTTCCATATTTATATGGTGAACGGCTATGGAGTGGAATTTCCTGCCTGCAGACTTGTTCCCTGAACGTTATAACTTGGACCTTTTCAAGGCGAGAGTGAATAGGCATTATTTAGGTGTGCATGCTTCATTGTCGACCTCATCGTCACTTTCCGTCAGGTGAGATAGAGGTCCAATGCGCACTTAACTTTTTAATTTAAAAAAAAAAAGGTTTTTTAAATAGGTTTAAACGGGTTCTAATTTATCTTGGTTTTTTGTTCCCTTTTGATAATAAGAAGTTAGTAATATAGCTCATTCGTTCAAACTGAAAAGGAGTACCTAACTACGGGTACAAACCTTCATGAAACATGGTTCTCAAAATCAAGGAAGCTGTGGCTGGTTGCTACTGCCCGCTATGTTGCCTATATGGAAAAGGACCTTATAGTGTCAACTCTGCTGTTAGCACTTGCTCAGGCTGGTTGTGCACAGGGCTTATGATTTGATTTGTTTCAAAGAAATTGATTTTTTTTTAATTCTGTAATAGTTCAATGTCACATTTCGTCATTTACGACACTTTTAGTCTTGTTAACCGACTTCAAAGAAGGTGGACGTTCTCAATTCCACTGTATATTTTTTTGCTTGTATGTTATGCGATTTCTCCCATATTTCTAAACCAATTTCGATGATTCTTTCCCATTGAAGTATGAAGAGAAAATTTCACCTCTAACGGTATCAAATTAGGGGATGAATCTGGTTTATTGTATTTCACCCACTTTCCACTAACCAATTTCAATAAAACTAAACAAATAAATCCACAAGCTTTTGAGGTCGGTTAATCGGTCGGCCTTCATGTAATGTTCTCATTTTTACACTTACTAATTTTGGCATAGGCGGTTTGTAAGGCAGTCTCTTTATCTTAGTAACATCCGTGTCGTCATTGTTAAGACTACGGACAAGCCGTACAACTTCATGGTCTCCGAATTGTGCCACGTTGGTTGCAAGAGGATCCCTTTAAATTGTTAGGCATGGTTACCGTAGGCCATTCGCAATTATTTTGTAATTTTCTATTAGCGCCTGCTAGCAGTTTAAGAGCAAGACGGTCCGCCGTGACAAACAACTGCGTTGTACTGAACACCAGAGGAAACGTTTTATGAATATGATATTGTAATTCATTAAATTGGAGTGGATGTTGTTTTTGATGTAAACAGTTTGTTTGAAGATTTCTCTGAATGATGAACTAGGTCGCTGGTATTTTTTACCGTTTACTCCAGTGAGTGCCACACACAGAACAATAAATACAGTAGAAGTGGTAAGTTAGCCTTAGTTAGCAACTATAAGGTCTCGAAAGACCTACTTGAACTTAATCCGACATTTTTGCTTTGTATGGTATGGTTTTTATGTAAATTCTCCGAAATCTTGAAAAAATGCCTTATTGTGCTGTTTTGGAATGCAAAAACGATAGCTGCACTAAAAATATTACTCGTAATAGTATTTGAAATCATCGGTAATATTAATACATTTTCAATTTTCTGATCATCTATTCGTTTAGATGTTAATCGTTCGTCTTAGCGCAGCTACTGGCTGCAAAATGGCAGCATGTTTATCAAAATTTCAATATATAATCAAAACGTCCTAACTTGCTATAAAGGTATTCAACTTTCAACGATATACTGACTGGGTAAAGTTTAAATTATATTAACAATCTAGAATTTGTTTAATCTTTTAAAATTAGAAACTATGACCAATCGTTATCAACATTTCATAGTATTTATCATTTTGTTTGTATGCGTTTTGGCGACATCGGTTGCGATAGTAATTGAGGCTTAAGACACTTCCATTGTCTTATTCTTCCGTGGTGCCACACATAGCTATCGTTATTGATTCAATTATGAAGCGTCGTATTACATTAAAGTAGCGTATTGTTTTCCTTTAAATAAATATCCCATAAACTTCAACGGATTTGTTAGTGTTGCTTGTAACTTAGTAAAGCAAGTTTGTGTAATCTTGAAGGTATACGTTTCATCTGGTGTATGATATAAGCATACGAAGGTCAACTTTGCTGCTATTGCTCTCAATGGCTTTTAAATTCTTCAAATAAATTTATAAACGTAACCAGACAACCACATTAACTGCCTTATCTTAAACTAGGGAATTTCCTGTACTATGCTCATATAGGTAGTCATACCAGAGCACAAGAATTCACTCTGGGGCACTTCCCAGACCACCCAGACCATAACTAATTTAGAAAAGTTCTATTCCGAAATTATTAATAATCCTGTCAGAATGTTTTTTTTTCGTAATATCAAGTGATGGGACGAACAATTCGTGCGCCTGGTGGTAAACTACACGTCAATAACAGTTGCAGTGAGTGCACTCAGAGCTTTAAATAGCAGAGATATAACTTTAAGTGACAGGACGCCTATCCATAACAGTTGCAGTGCCACTCGGAAAGAATTAAAATGTTTGATATTTTGGAGACTGTTTATCGTTATGTCGAATTTGAAATCGGCCTGTTTTGTTTTGGCCACTCAGAGCTTTATATAGCAAAGATCTGAGACTGCCACTGCGCCCGTCAGGGACATAAGTTGACAAGTCCCATGTGCCTGTAATTTCACAACACCCTTACCCTTCTAAACCGGAACGCAGTAATGCTAACATTACTGCTTGGCGGCAGACATAGGAAATTTTTAATTGGCATTACTTCCCTGGACAAACTCTCACAAGAGGTTCTACTGCTACTACTGTTTCGGACGGGCATTGAACGGAGAATGGGAATAGAACCAACTCAGCAAGATAGTTTTGGTAAGTAGTGATTTTCTGGTTCCAGTTATGCTACGGCTATGTGATATCGTAGACTTCTGTCTGTCACAAGTTAAAGATATATTAATGTGAATTATAGACGAAGCAGTGACGTAGTCAGCATAGTTGGCCGTCGTGACAGGACGGCTGCAATCGGCCTTATAGTCCAGCGCTACGAACTGCGATGACGTGGATGACGTACCGGGCGTGGGGGGAGTGCTACCTCTGCTGGGGAGCGGCGCCGGCACAGGCGCGCCGAGGTTGTTGGCTGAGGCCGGACGCGGGTATCGGCCACGAGCCGCCAACCCCGCGCGGACAGTCTCGAGCTTGACGGGTGACGGAATGAAGCCGATGTCGCAGTCCTCTTTCACCAGCCGCCCGATCCACCAGTTGTTGTCGTACTTCTCCTGCAATCGGGTTGTTGTACTTTGTTAGGACTGGTGTTGTAGTTTACGATTAAAGGACTATTCTGCCGTCCACTAACTAAAACTAAAAAAGCAAAAAAGGCTAAGTCAGAAATGGTCAAATAACCGTTTCAAACAGAAAAAGACAGAGCACAAATTTCTCTTTTAAAATTAGTTACGTTTTCGACTTATCGGAACTTACCCTAACGATGCATAACTGAAATATCATTAAATAATTTCAATATTCTAAAACTGGATTACGGTTTTTATGGCATCTCAAAAAACTATTTTGTCACTTCACCGCGTTTTATTCACATTAGACCGTACTGGGTGCGAGCCGAGCCACGTACGAGACTCGGATTGGAAATGCTGCGTACATTTTATATGAAGTGATTCACATTCCGAGCTCGTCCGAGCTTCGGATGCGGCCCGGCCTGACTCGGCTCGTGGTAATGTGAACACCCTCTGACTCTGTCTAATTTAAAATCTTGCGGCACGTACGAGGCTCGGATGCCTCGGACACGGCTCGCGCCCGACACGGTCTAATGTGAATCATCCTTAAGGCTGCACAGCTATGGAACCAACATCCCGTCTGTAATCCGACATTCCATGCTGCTTCCTATTCGTATTCTGTTTTCAAAACTGGATTGCGAAAATATTTTCTGACAGACCTGACATTTTTTTATAATATCAAGCGACGGGACGTTTAAGTCGCGCGACTGGTGGTAAGCGACACGCCTATCCACGACAGTTGAAGTGCCACTCAGAATTTTATATTTTTTATATACATTTATAACTTCAAGGTGTAGTATAATTGAGTCTATCAGCGCAATAATGGAATAACCGACATTCAAGTTTGTTTCTATAATATTACTTTAAATTATACTATAGTATGTTACATATTTTTTTATTTTTATACATAGCTTTTATGTATAGAAAATATTTAATTATTAATTTTTTTAATACCTTCAAGAAAATAGCATCCAAATATCAAATAAATATGTACTTTAGTACATAATAATAATAAAAACAACGCACACACTCAACATCGCCCCGCACTAGGGAAACCCTGTGTCGCGGGTGCTATGGACACACACATAGATAATCACAAATTAAACCGACACTCACGAGAGAAATAAATTTAGGCCATACAAATATTTTTCCCGGCCCGGGAATCGAACCTGGAACCTCTGCGTCGCAGGCATGGTAACCGTTCGGCCAGAGAGGCAGTTCTGTTCAGTATCATTTAAAGTAATATTGTAGGAAAAAAAATTAATAAAGGTTACTCCGCTATCGCGCAGCCTCGTTTATGAAGAAATGTTTAAATAATATGATATCATTGTATCATTTGTTTACAGGGTGATTTTGAATAAAACAGTGATTAACAAACATTCATGTGTTTCACTACATGACAATGGTGGGATCGGAACCCGCGCCCTTTCGGACTGGTGCTCAAACCAATGCACCCAGAACAGAATTACGCAGATGTTAAATTTAAGACATGTTAAGAGCCACTATGAAACTTATGAAAGTGAAAATTGAAAAAATAGATTTACCTTGATGTGCAGGAAATCGCGCACTTCGAAGGAAATGGCGCTGCCGTGTACCGGCGAGTCGTCGTCCAGCGCGCCATCGTACGACACATTTGTACGCACTGCGAAGGCCACCGGTTTTGACTGAAACGTGATAATAAATCGTCAAATGAACGAACGTCAAATGACAGTTTGACTGAGTCAACCGTGGCCATGGGACCTGTAAAGGGCCCGAAACGTCGGTTTGTTTGAAAAAACAAATATACGCGATTTAAATCCGGAAAAATAGTTTCATTCAAACTACAAAGTTTTTATGACACCAAGTGACGGGACGAACAAGTCGTGCGCCTGTTGGTGAGCGACACGCCAGTCCGTAGTAGTTGTAGCGCCACTTACACATTTAGATCTATTATATAGGGTGCCTCATTTACAGTGGTTCAAATAAAAAAATGTGTTACACCAAATAAAAAATCTCCTAAACGTCTAAAATAACAGCGCAATCTAAGAACAAACACAAAAATGGTTCATTGCATGCTAGCTTCATGGTCACACTACTTCCATACCAAATTTCAATTAATTTAGTGTAACAGTTTTCAAACTATAACAGGTTTTAGATACTAGAGTGGATAATTTTCAAAAAAGTACATAAAAAATCATAACTTGTAAACTATTGATTTTCGCGGAACTAATGTTTATTTTGAAAGGGTCGTTAAAATGTCCTCTATCTAAAAAAAAATGCTGGACCACAGAAAACGGGCCACCCGTTTTAAAAAAATAATAAAAACCATACCCGAGCCTTGTCGAGCTGTGAGAGTGCCTGCGCTTCCTTCTCGCGGCGCAGCGCCTCCTTGTCTTCGTCCAGCGACAGTTCCGAGGAAGGCTGCGAGTAGTTCGAATCTGCTGAGCCCTGTAATAAACAAATAAGCAATCTTAAACTTTGTATGTATGAGGCATAGATTGGCGTCTTTAATTCACTCAAAATTTTGGTCAAAAATATTTGGTGGATTTTTTACTAAGTTAGTCTTGATTACGTATTGATATTTTCGAAGTGATATATAAAATTACTTTATATAATCGGTATATTTAACGGAATAAAACAAGTCAGAATATAAAATAGTAATGTTTCAATAAGTATAATTAGACATAAAGTAACAAGTAAGTTAACATCTTTTATCATTGCTTTGCCTCACTCAACAGATTTAGATTCATTTATTTCTCAAATATGTGAATTGCACTACATGTCAAAGTATAAGAAATTATATTGAGATCGTCAGACAAAAAGGAAAATTATAAGAAAAGCACACAATAATTACAAAATTAACAATTCATTATTATAATATTGTTGTCATTAAATTATATATCAGATACATTCTCCACCAAGAATCGTCATAAGTTGATAACAATTATACTAGAGTATGTTATTCCGGTAAAAATTATAATAAAAATAGAAAATACTGAATTCGTTACAATTTAAAGTCCATAAGTTCTTTTACAGAGTATATAGGATTTTTCAAGAAAAGGTCTTTCAGCCGGCGCCTCACCTTTCGCTCATTTGGTGCTATATTGTGTTTTGGCAAAAAATAATTAAGTTAACACATCTTAAACACAACACGTGTTGTGTGTGAAAAATTGGCAGACATTTTAAATTTACATATATTGTAAAAATACACAATGTTTTATTGACAAATTTGAAATAAAATTAAAAACTCAATTTAAATCTATTTCCTTTAACATTACAAGAAGTACAATTGCGTCAGTATAGCACCAAATCAGCTTTGTTGAAAAAAAAAAAAATTAAAATAAAATGCATTTTTTTCGATTTTGTGATGAAATAGGAAACGGTTGAAAATTTACAAATTGCAACAGTTTGACATTAATTAAATGAAAGTTTAATAAAATATAAAAAATTCAAATAAAGTTTACGAGCCACTTGTACGACCTGTATTTGCAAAAAGAATTAATGAAAAAAATGACAATCGGCAAATTTTTATTTTCAAATTAGACCTAAAATAAAAAGCAAAATAACCGGCCAGCCTTTTGAAAAAAGATTGCATTATTTTGGATTTCTATAAAATGTGCGTGTTTCACCAACTTTTTAGTTATTTGCGAATCAATTTTGATGATTCTTTTTTTGTTGGAAAGGGGATATCCCAGTAGTGGTGCCACCTCTAAGGGGTGGCAAATTAGAGGACGAAAGTTTATTGGATTTCACAACTTGCAGTTAACTGATTTCATTAAAACTTGGCAAATAAGTAGATGTAATTTTACAAACTTTTGAGGCCGGTTTTTTTATATAATAATCTTATAATAAACGGGTCGTCCATTGAATATTGTCTATGGCTTTTTCAGTAGTTTATGTTTAATTCTTTACTTTATTTAACTATATAAGATCCTTTTTCTACCCAAATAATTGTTTGATTTGTTGTTTTGTGTTTGTTTAAACGTTGGGCCGCTGGCTAATAAATTGACTAATTTGGCAAATGTCAGAATATAATTAAAGCAAACGTTTATCATTCCTTAAATCATTCAAAATCTAGCTCTAAGCAATATTCGAAACAATCATCTAGAAATCGCATGGACTCGCTTCACGAGTAGGTATCGTGTAAAATAGCGCATTCATTAATTATTAAAACATAGATCGATACGGTGATAGAGCACGAGAATGCTAAATTTCCGCCAACCTTTTTTGTTATATTACAATTTTAAAATATTTACTAGAACGAAACCTTGACGAAAAGAACGGTAAATACCTCGTGTGTTCGTACTGTACAAAATAAAACAATGATATAGCAAATCTTCTTGTAGTTCCTAAGCACAGAGCAATGGGGTCCAGGGGCTGTTTCAAATACGCTGCATCGAAAATTTGGAATAACTTACCACCGCCGTTACATGAGAAAGTTTCTTTATACGCTGTTAAACAACATATGAACAAAAAAATGTTGACCGAGCAGAAAGAGATACTCCTGGACTAGCCTTGTTTTGTGGCAATAGATAATTAAATAAGATGTACAATTTTTTACTGTGATAGATTGGTTTAGAATTACGGTGCACATAATATACTATATACATGGATAGATAAATTCATGAAAACCAATTTTGAGCGACTTCTGACGCTCAGTAAATGCTGAGACTGTCCCCCACACACAAACCATTTAATGTATATATTAATTTAATTTATTTTTGTATTTATAAGCGATCTTTTAAGCTTAGTTTTGTTATATAATGAATGTGTGTGGAAATAAATGGTTTAAATGATAAGTACCACCTGTTTAATTCTTTTTTTCAATTTTGGATTTGGAATGTTTGTGTTTTATTTGTCCGTTTTTGAATTAATTTCTATTATTTTACTCGTAATGAAGGGAACAAAAAGTAAATTGGCGGCAAGCAGTATCTTTAAATTGCGTCAGAAATATTAAATAGTGAAATTGTCGCAATTAAAGTAAGTACTATAAAAATAATTGTGCCAAACAACCACGCCAATTAACTGGTCTAAACTAGCCAATTTCCTGCATAATAAGTACCAGAGCAACGGAATTCACCCTGAGGTGATCCAGAATGCCCGGGTTTGGACCAATTTAGAAAAGTTAATTTACCTCCTCTACCAGGGTTCACAGTGCAATTTGTTAGATCACTGAGTGGTAAGCGTATATATTATTTACAATAATAACTATTTTACAAAAACACCGCCGTCGAAAATTTGTGGAATTACATTTATTTGCGTTTTATTGCAATCGGTGAATTGAAAGTGGGTGAAATCCCATAAACCGTATTCATACCTTAATTTTCTACCCTTAGAGGTCGAACATTGTCTTTAAATTGAATGAGACCACTACTGAGTTATCCCCTTTCCAACGATAAAAATAAAAAATCATCGAAATCGGTTCATATAATCATGTGACAAAAAAAAATGGTTAATTAAAAAGAAAATCTTAATTGTTTATGGGCATTATTGGAATGGAAGTTACAAGGAAAAGTAATCCATTTATATGTTATTGTTCTATAACTTTGTGTTGTTTGCAGGTAAAGCATCACCCATTGTTGGTTTCGATCGAGTTCCATAAACTTTTAGAAATGTATAGTAAAAAACAAGTTAATTCTTAAGTAAATTCATTGTATAGGCTTTTTGGCAGTGGCAACATCATAAACTATCACGAGTTGGCAACGGGCCGGAGATGCGCGCGCAGGTCCGCATTGCTCCGTATTTGCACCATTGCAGCGACTCTCGTTTGGTAACACATGTGCAGACACGATGGTATTTTGTAAATGAAACTGTATTTTGGGTACATATTTGACCGTCAGCCGTATCTATGGGACTTGAAAAGAGAGAAAAAAGTAATATACGTTTAGATCCGAGTAAATAGTTTCATTTCCGACGTATAGCAATCGGGAAAACAAAAACTCCATGCAGTGATATTTTTACAAACTGCCTGTTTTAATAAAAAAAAAAAAAATTGTTTGTTCTAGTTGCGAATGCGCTATGACTTTTATTTTAATGAAATTCATATTTTTAAAAGATAAAATTATACCTACAAATGTATCAAACTTACTTGATGGCTTTAGTCAATACTTGGTGTAAAATAAAATCAAAGGGACGGTAATAAATTGAAATGTACATATTACACGGCGGTCACCCAATGGGCTAGACAAAGACTATGGATCTTCACTTTCTGTGTTCCTGATAAATCTCTTTTGCTTCCTTTAGTGACAAAACTATTTTTAAAGGTGCATTTTGTAGACGAAGTTTTCAGATATCGAAAGTTAAGAAATTGTTTCTGATTCTAAAAGGTAGCTAACTATGTTATATTTATAAAATAATTAATTTACCTAATCATTAGCCCGCTGCCGCGAGCCCACTTTTGTTTCGACAGAGGTCCCAAACTACAAGCGGCGGGAAATTCATTGAGTTCACCTTTAATGTGGTATCGTGTGTAATAGTGTTTAGTTACACAAAGGGCGCCTTCAAATTAGACGCTTACAGAAGTACTGCAGTGGTGCCACTGTGGCACTGCAGCCGCGCCACTATTAGTTTTCATACAATATTTAGGAGCGCAGTTGCAGCGCCACAGTCGTGACACGTGCGACACTTTTACAGTCACAGTTAGTGAACTAAAAATTACTAAAGCGCTACAGACGCGCGGCTTCCGCGCCACTGTAGCGCTTCTACAAGCGTCTAATTTGAAAGCGCCCAAGAGATCATAAATAAAAAAGAAAAGAAAAACGTCCCAATTGTACACTGAATGATAAAATAAATACAAAAGTGTAAGTTTCCTTACCAAGGGCTTGTAGTTAGTCATTGATGGAGGCTGCGGCAGGCTGCATGCATCGCGGACGGAACACACACAAATAAACGGCAATCAGACACACATGCAAACAAGTCCCCCTATACATACTTTTATAGACAAACATAAGTATGCCTATAGATAGAGTTGCAAAAAAATATGTTAACGGTGATCGTTTTCTTGTATTTTAAGGTACCTAGAAAGAAACGTAGTTTGCAAATGCAACACGATCTTGATCTTAATTTGAAATTAATTAAAGCATTTAAAAAAGGTAACCCCAATTTGTTATTGATTGTACTCAATGCATACTCAATGGGACTGCTTTCCGAAGAAGTAGTAGAGCTTAAAAAAATTGTGTGGTCTGTCAAGATGTTATTATATATTTGTGGAATAGCCAAAACATGTGAGTAGAATCTAGAACACTCGTGTCGTGTCCGCATCCTAGAACTTGACCATGAAATTTAGATTCTAAGGTATAATATCTTTACTAAAAATCACATCTTATTGCAATAGTATTGTATTGATTAATAGATAAGAAATAAAAAAAACATGCCTACAATGTAGTACCAAAAAATGCAATTGAAAACGGGTGAACTCTATAATTAAAAACTTAAATAAAAAAAAACTA